AGGTGTGGCTCTTCCAAGGTCCCATGGTGTTATCTCTTCTTCCCAACATTTCTCCCATCCACCTGTTTTTTATTTTATTTTATAAGATTAATTATTTACATTATACATGTAAATAATACTATTGTTTTTCTCTACCTTTCAATATCTAAAAATAATAACAACCATTTGTGTGGATATGAAAGACGTATGTTCACTAAATTCAATCAAGAGAAGCATATTGATTTTGGTTACGCGATTCATTTGTCAAAAATCTGCTATGGTTTTTCGATATGATTGAAATGTTATCTATGGACTTAAAGGTCTATAACTTCGAAAGTGAAAGAAAATAATTATAGTTAGGAATAGAAGAGATAATATTTACCTTCTGCCACGGTTTTGGGGAGGAACGTAGCAACTTCTTCAGGGGTAGGAATAAGGATTTCACAATTGTTGTGATTGTGACCTGATTTTTGTTGTTCTTCAGCCATTTTTAGGGTTTCTCTCAAGCTCTAATATTTCCTCTCTTTTTCTTTCTCTTACTTTGATTTCTTGTAAGTCTTGAAGATGTTGAAACTAGCTTTAAGCACATGCCATGTATTTATACATTGTAATGGTTTGCACATTGAATTAATAAATTTAATTATAAAAAAAGAAAAACAATAATTGAATAAAAAAGATTTCGTATGAAGCCATTATTGTGCTATCACTCTCTATATTTTCTACCCATTTTATGTGTTTGCTCATTGGAACACGTAGGTATGTTAGATTTTTGCTCACCAAAACACTTATTGAACCAAATTTTTTCTTTTATAACCTTGAAGTTCGAGGCCAAAAGTCATACATCTCTATGGCCCGGGATTGAATCGGTGATAATACCATGATACGGCATAAATCATCTTTTTAGTACTACGATTACGAAAATTAAAACCATTCGTATTTAACCATATTTGACATTGGACTTTTTGAAATGACATTGATATATTTATAGAAATAAGTTGGACTAATTATCCTAAATACTGGTTTATTCATTTCATCACTAGAAAATGTAATATCAAGACGTATTCTTATCCATGGTACGAAAATCAGACAAAGCAAGTGAATAAGTGGTCCTCGTTTTACTCTATTATTACACAATTCCCAATAAAATAATTAGATTTTATTTGGGCATTTAGATATTTAATATTATTGTCATTATATAATAGTTCCAGTGAACATTCCTAAGCTCCAAAATTATCCACTGGATGTGGCATGAGTAGACTCTTTCTGAGGTCACGAGTGAGTGATCACAAAGAAAAGGACACAAGTGACCAATTTAACAAGATGATAAATTAGACATTGATCATCTCACTAAACACACACAATTAGTTATTGCAAAAGCCACTTATTGATGTAATCTGACAATGGTCATACTCATACACGTTTAATTCATCAGTGAAAAGTGAAAAAAACTCACATAGCATCCAGAGATCGAATCATATGTGAGCTTCTGTATTCACAAGATTGGAAGATTTTTTCCATCTTCCAATCTTCTCTTTTCCCTAAAAATTGATTCCAAGATAACATTATAATCTTCCTGACCCTAAAACCAGGCTTATTCGAAAGTTTGTGTTGGTAATTTACCTTGCGTGATCCAACAGCAAGTTCGTTATCCACAATGGAGGTTGCTTCAAACCCCAATGGAATCAAAACTTTCTCGTATCTACACGTTGAGAGGTTAAAAGAGTCAGGATATTTCAGTGATGTTGCTCTTAAGTAAAAGAGATAACATGAGAAACTTACTCAGACGCAGATACTTTGTAAGCAGGACCTCCAGAACGATCATCGATCTGTGTACAATACATTCTTTTTTCAGTTTTTCAGCAAGTACGGAAACGAATCAGAGAATAGGAATGTTATGATTCATTACAGGATACATCAATGTTATAAGCTCTCCACCGGGTTTAAGAAGTTTTTCCATAAGTTGTGCCCATAGCGGTCTCAAGCTAGGTTCAAATGCACAGAAGAAACTGCGAGAAATGGTCATAAATCATAATAATGTAAATATACATAAGAAAAGAATCATACTGTATGAACAAGAAACACACATATACATACGTATAGTCGAAAATGAGATCAAAATCTCCATCTGACTCCCAAGTGAAGAAGTCTTGACACAAGAAAGAGAAGTATTTTGCATTAGGATGTGAAGAAAACATCTGCATTTGAGATCAAACAAAACGCGTTTAAACCTCTAAATGCAACATGAAGTTCTAGTAAGCATAGTTCAATCAATAATGCCTACATATATATATATGAAAATCGACAAACAAACTGCTCACACCTTTATTGATCGCTCAACCGCAGTTTTCGATACATCTAGTCCAACAACATAACGATCAGGGCAAGCCATTTCTACCACATCATAACCCTTGAAAACCACAACAAACCATTTGTGTTATAGTTTGAGAAGATGACTGATTGATTAAGTAAACGCAAGAACCGATCACAATAAGGAAGGTATATAGTCAATTGCCATAAGTTCCTCTAGCAAAAGGCAAAATTCAAAGAATCTAGCAAAGAAGCTGTGGAAGAGAACATACAGTACCACAACCAGGAACTAGAGCTTTGCCATTAGGTAATGAACCAGTGTCGATGAGATGCGAAATGATCGGAGTTGGTCCTCCTAAGTCCCATTGAGTTGCTCCTTCTTCCCACTTCTTCTCCCACTCACCTAGAACCAATACGAGAAAATTCATACAACGACGAACAAACAAATGCTTTCAGGAATTGATTTGAGCAAAATTTGGGGGTTTCAATTACCAATAGAATCCTCGCTCACCAACCCTAGGTAGATCTCACGCGGCGATTCGATAGCCAGAGCTTCACCGGCGTTCTCCATCGGAATCAACGAAGAAGATGGGACTTTGCTAAAAGCAGAGAAGAAGAAGTTTATGCGAGAAGCTAATTAAGAAGAGAGACTTTACTATTAGTGGAATCATAATGATGGTTTCGGGTATAATCAAAATTAAGACAAAAATAAAATTAATGGTTTCGAATTGTAATCTTGTACCGCAGCGGTACAAATTATAAAAACGATAACAAATATTTTTTTTAAATGTTACTGTAAGTATCGATTTAGGTCAGTGCATGTTAGGTAAATATTTTTTTTTAAATGTTACTGTAAGTATCGGTCGGGTTGTAAGTAGTTTTTACAGCCAATTTTTTACTTAAACCCTTAATTCTCTACCAATCATGTTTTAGTTTTTTTTTTTTAAAGTTACAACCTAAAACATTGATTACCAATCATGTTGTATCTTTATTTTTTAAAGAGACAATTACAAAAATACCACATTTTAATACTAAGTTTGCAAGCGTGTTACATGCATGTACACTTTTGCAAATCTGCCACTTATTTATCCCAAAATGTCACCTTTATCCATTTCTTCTCTCTCACGAAATAATCTAGA